GTTATATGACCATCTACCACTACTTTGTTATGACTACCTGTTGCTATGACTGCCTTGTTATGCCCAGCTTGTAACCATGTCTTTGTTTCAGAAGGTGATTAGGACTAACACGTTATCATGTCCTAACATGTTATCATGTTGGTGGTCTTTCTCCTACCATCTTTAGCATTAACAGTTTCTGCTTTGTGTTTATGCCCTGACTTTTCTTCATGAGAGACTATGATCAAGATGAGAAAGCAAAGTAGGACAATAGGTTTATTTTATTTTATTTAAAAACTTTTATTTTTCAAGACAGGATTTCTTTGTGTAGCCCTGGCTGTCCTGGAACTCACTTTATAGAGCAGGCTAGCCTCAAACTCAGAGATCCACCTGCTTCTGCCTCTTAAGTGCTGGATTAAAGGCACATGCCACCACTGACCCATTAAAAAAATAGGTTTATGCTGTCACATCCCTGTAATGTCTTTCATTCTGGTTTTTGTTTGAGTTTTGAGACAGGGTTTCTCTGTGTAGTCCTGGCTGTCCTGGAGTCCTGTACCTCACTCTGTAAACTAGGCTGGCCTTGAATTCAGAGGTCTACCCGCCTCTGCCTCCGGAATGGAGGGCACCTGCTGGGTTAGAAGATGTATGCCATCACTGCCTGGCATGTTTTCAATCTGATATTGGAAATTAATAGGCTGCCCTGCCCTCTGATACCATCAATAAGTGGTTTTTCTTCTCCCCTCTTTTCTTCAAATTTTTATTTTATGTGCATTGCTTTTGCTATGTTTGTGTACGGGTGTCAGATCTTGGAGTGAGACAGTTGTGAGCTGCCATATGGGTGCTGGAAATTGAACCCAAGTCCTCTGGAAGAACAACCAGTGCTCTTAACCACTGAGCCATCCCTTCAGCTCCCTCTTCTCCCCTGTTGACTGTCTAAAGATCCCTCCCAGTTTGCTGACAGGAAATAGACTCATGGACCTGACATCACTACCTTAAACTAACTTGGATGAGTCAAACTCTTTGAGGCCTGAGGCTTGGGTTTCCAGAAAACTTCCAGCCTCTAGGTAGAGGACATGAAGAGAGGACATGAAGAGAGATGCTTACTCAAGAAATAATTTGAAAGGAATGAGTTAAGTTAATGAGGGAGATGTGATTGTGGTTATGATCCTGTAATTTTGGGTAATGCTTTTCTCACACACACACATACACACACACACATATTTGATTAGTCATACAATACAGTCCTCTCCCCTCCCCCACCAGCTCTGGTCTACAACCCTCAATTTAGCAGGCTATACTTGTGCCATCTGGAATAAACACTGTCTTTCAAAAAGGCCCTGGTCAGTGGGCAACTCCCCTAAATGTCTCAGCTGGGTTTGTCTACAGCCTGCTGTGAGAACAGAGTTCTTCCTGGGTGCTTGCCACCCTGCTCTACTTGTTTCAACTGCCACCCCCTCCATCTCCTCCTCCAGACAAGGTTTCTCTGTGTAGCCCTGGCTGTTCTGGAACTCTCTCTGTAGACCAGACTGGCCTCAAACTCTCTGAGATCCACCTACCTCTGCCTCCCCAGGGCTGGGATTACGGGTGTGTGCCACCACCACCTGATGACTTGCATTGTTTTCAGACAGGATCTCTCTATACAGCCCTGGCTGCTCTGGAACTTACTACAGGGACCAGGCTGGCTTCAGACTCAGAGATTAGGCTGCCTCTGTCTCCCCATACTGGAGCCATCACTCTGCTTTTCATGTTGATACAACATTTGTGTAGCTTCACAGAGCTAGCCCTTCTCAGTGGGATCCCACTGAGAAGTTACATTACTAATTTGGAGCTAGAGATGGCATGATGGTTAAAGTTCTTCTGCTCTGCCAGAGGACTGGGGTTTGGTTCCTAGCACCACATCCACATGGCAGTTCACAAGGGACTGTGACTCCAGTTCCAGGGCACTTGACCTTTCTTCTGGCCTCCTGCACTCACATGGTGCCCATAAACTCATGCATGGTCATACAAACACACTTAAATAAAAAACAGACTAATTGAGCCAGGTGTGTTGGTGCATACTTTAATCCCAGCATCCAGGAGTCAGGCAGACAGATCTCGGTAAATTTGAGACTAGCCTGGCCTACATAGAGGCCAGCTAGGGCTATATCATAAGACCTTTTCTCAAGTAAATAAAAATTAATTTAAAAATAATAAAAAGAATTATGTTAGAAGTTATACTGAGAAAGAATTAGACCATGATGGCTCTGACCTTGGAATGAACTCATCCACTGATAGATTCATAATATAATAGCAAGTTGGACATGGTGGCTCACACCTGTAATCTCAGTACTGAGGGAGGACAGTCATGAGTTCAAGGCCAACCAGGGTTACATGTAAATTTTAGGACAGCCCAAGCTACAGAGTAAGACTCTGTCTCAAAATAACAAACTACAAAACAGCCCAATGTCTTTCTTGGGAGGCCACAGAAAGTAGGATGAGGGGCTTAGCTGGGAGCAGGTCACTAGGGGTGTGCCCTGAGGGCATACATCTAGTAACTTGCTTTATATATACTTCCTGGCCACCATGATTCATAGTTGTCTGCTTCCTCTGCCACATGTTCCCACTGCCCTGATGTTCTGTTTCAACATAAACCCAGAAACGATGGAACTACCTGAAATTGTGAGCCAAAATACAGTCTTCTCTTAAGCTGATTCCTCAAGTATTTTTTCACAGAGACAAAAAAGGCTAACACACCCTTCCAGAAATATGTACCCATTATAAAATAAGGTCTTTATATAGTGGCCATAGGTTGTTAGATAGACCTGGTGGTTCTGTTCCTTCTGGAACTTAACAGGATTGTGATACTTTCTAGAATTCCCGGATTTTAGGCTTGGTCATGAGCCCTGGAACTCACTCTATAGATCAGGCTGGCCTCATTTGGCAATGAGACAACAGATGGATGGAAGTGTGAAGGACTTGTACAGAATTCAGGTTTTCTTGTCTTCACTCATGGAGTATATGATAAGATAGAATCACTCCCTCCCCTCCATAAGCAACTTGTCTGTCACCTGTGATCCCTATTGAGTAGCAGAAGCTCCCTAACAATCCACAATAAACATGATAGCTTAATCAAGAAATAAATGTTAATTATATAAAACTATGTTACTGTACAGGATGGAGAGATGCTGTTTTTCCAAAGGAACAAAGTCAGCACCCACATCAGGTGGGTCACAACTGCCTATAACTCGAGCCCAGGAGATCTGATGCCCTCTTCTGGCCTCCAAAGATTATACACATGCACACGCTCCTATAAACACATACGCATACACGCACACAGGCGTGTTAAGACTAATGAGGTGGTTCAGGCAGTAAACTGCTTGCTAGGCAAGCACAAGGGCCTTAGTTCAGATCTCCAGCACCCACCCCTGTGAAAATCTGGATGAAGTAACACACATCTGCAACCTGCAATCTCTCCTACGAAGTAGAGATAGATAGTTGGAGCCTAGTTCACTAAGCCCTCCAGATTCACGGAGACACTAACAAAAAAAAAAAAAAAAAAAAAAAAAAAAGAATTGGAGTATTCTAGTCACTGTTCTATTCCTGTGAAGAGACGCCATGAGCAAGGCAATTCTTTTAAAGAAAAGCATTTAATTGGTGGCTTACTTATGGTTTCAGAGGTTTAGTCCATTATCATCATGGTAGGGAGTGTGGGAACAGGCAGATGTGGTACTGGAGCAGTAGCTTAGAATTACATCCCAATTCAAAAACCAAGAGAAAGAGAACTGAGCCCAGCATGGACTTTTGAAGCCTCAAAGCCCACCCCCAGGAGTACACACTTCCTCCAACAAGACCACACCTCCAACACCTCCTAACCTGTCTAATCTTATCAAAGAGGTTCACTCTCTGGTGCTTAGGATTCAAACATATGAGCCTAAGAGGGCCACTCTCATTCAAACCACCACAGAAAGGCTGGAGAGGTGACTCAGCAGTCAGAAGCACTGGCTGCTCTTCCAGAGGATCTGTGTGCCTTTCTCAGCATCACATAGCAGCTCCCAAAGGATTTTGTAACTCTTCTGACTCACTTTTGAGCACCCTGGCAAGGACAGGGACACACACACACACACACACACACACACACACACACACCTTATACATACACAGGACACACTAATGAGAAATGAGAAACAAAAGTTTAAAATTTACAAATCCAGTGTATTGTTTTTGTTGTTCTTGTTGGTTCTTCAAGACAGGCTTTCTCTGTATAGCCCTGGCTGTCCCGGAACTCACTCTATAGATCAGGCTGGCCTCAAACTCAGATATTCACCTGCCTCTGCATCCCCAGTGATGGGATTAAAGTTATGTGCCACCACTACCCAGCTCCATTGTGATACTTGTAATCCTAATACCTTAGAGATAGACAGAAGGATAAGGAGCACAAGATGAATTCAAGGCTAACCTGGGCTATATGAGACCTTGTCCGGAAAACAAAATCTAAGACAGTATGGAGGGTATGGTTCTCATGAGGCCCCTTCTTTCCACCCAATCATATAGAACATGCTGTGGCCACTTTGAGACCTTTTGTCTAAGATCAAGTGTAGAACATGCTGGACATTCCCATTCTATTAGAGAGCTGAGAACACATCACAGAGTGGTTAGCCCTGCTGTGGTCCAATTTAAAATGATAAAACCCTTAGCAAATGTATTGGCACATGTCTTTACTCCCAACACTCGGGACATAGGTGGTTCTCTGTGAATTTGAGGCTAGCCTGGTCTACAAAGCAAGTTCCAGGACAAACAGCAGCTACACGGCTAAATCCTGCCTCAAAAACCAAAGATAAATAAATAAGCAAATAAGGTAAAACCCTGGGCTTAGCTATAAGAGTTCATATGAAAAAATGAAATCAAGAGCTGTGAATGTGGTGTGGCTTAAGAAAATTAAGTGTGAGAGCAGGGAATTAACCAAGTTTAAATAACTTCAATCAGTGGGAAGTAGAATGCAAAATAATTACATTCCCATTCACACCCAAACAATTTGTAAGACAGATGTTGAATGTCTGGTTTATTTAAACAGTCAGAGGCCCCACCACAAGGGAGGCTGGGAGCTGGGAGGCTAAGCCAGGCAGGAAGGTCCTCGGCATCACAAGGTAAAAGGAGCTAGGCTGAATGCGCAGAGCAGCACTAAGGACAGGCTGCACATTAGTGGCCAGGCCCCATGAAACCCAGCTCCACTCATGGCCTCTGCGTAGAACCTTGCCACCTCCTCGTTGGGGTTGCCTTGGGCTGGGTCGAACCACATCTGGATGCAGCGGCCACTCCCCCGGCTGTAGTTGCTGAGTTTGTAGGAGTGACTCCAGATTTCCTCACACAGAGCAGCAGGTGTAGGGAAATAGAAGTCGAAGGGGTGACAGGAGGCTCCCACAGGGCACTGGTTATGCCCTATGTAAATGAGAGAAGACCTTTAGCCACTGTGCCTAGAACTATCTCTACTTGTGCCAGCTTCGAAACCTCCAGCCATCACACAACAGCTGCACAGTCCCCACCCCTGCAACATTCAGCGCCCCCTCCTGCCCCACCCACTTCTTACCTGAGGTCCAGTCCCATCCCTTGTGCCAGTTGCTCTTGCAAGTGAAAGAGGTGTGGCAGTCCTCCCACCATCGCTGACAGTCCTCATTGCACAGGGGAACATCAAGGATTCGCTCTTTGCGCCAGCTCTGGTCCACCTGAGAGATGAAGAGGGTTTTGAGCTCAGGAACCTGGGAAATGCAGCCTGAATAGAACTGGAGCTGGAGACAGAGCCTGGAGAGCTCTGGCGAGCACAGCTGCTCTGTTGGCTTTGGGGGACACTCATACCTGCTGAATCCAGGGTCCCAGGTTAGGAGAACACTCATAGAGACAGGTATCCTGGATAAAATGCCGTTTGCATTCCGATGTCATCTTTCCACAGTGGTCCCAGTTGAATCGGTACAGGTAGGAAATGTCCTTGTGGGCTTCCTGGCTTGTGTTGGTGGAACAGCAGGAATTCTTCTTCCAGGGACTGCACTATATGGTGGGAGACACGGGACCAAGTGCACGGTCAACAATAGTCTGTCTGGTCAACAAGGACAGAATATTCAGCCTGCAGCCTTGCTGTTTGTAAGTCCATCATTGTCTAGGCAATCATTCAGGGAAATACTTGCTGTTGCACCCTGGCTGGCTGTGGGAGCCCAAGAGGTACAGTCCTTACAAAAGTCATTAACTCATGAGACCTGGAGAACATTGTCTGCTCTTGCAGAAGGCCAGGGTTTAGTCTCCAGCATCCACATGGCAGCTCACAACTGTTTGTGACAGCTCTGGATGTCCTGGAACTCGCTCTGTAGACCAGGCTAGCCTCAAGCTCACAGAGATCCACCTGCCTCTACCTCCCAAGTACTGGGATTAAAGGTTTGCACCACCACCACCTGGCCCCATTATTTTTTCTTATGCACACGTGCCTCTGTGTGTTTGTGTGTATATGCATATATGTACACACATTTGTGTGCAGGTTTGGGGTTAGGAGACAACCTCAGCCAGTCTGTCTGCCTCACTGGAGGCCGGGTCTCTCACTGGCCTGGAGATCACAAATTAAGCTGTATTAACTGCTGGTAAGCATGGGGACTCACTTGTCTCTATCTCCTCGGTGCTGGAATTATAAGACCACACTGCTTCTGCCTCTTGTTTGGCATTTGCACATGAGTCCTAGGGATTAAACTCAGGTCCTCATGTTTGTGAGGCAAACACTCTCTCCCCAGTCCTGTTTTTCCAATACAAAGCTGCAGAGTCCAAGAACAACCCGGGACCCCTGATTCTCTCACCTCTACCTCTCAAGTGGTGACATTACAGGTGTGTGCCACTACATCCAGCTTTTCCTACATCACATCTAGCTTTTTTTCTTTTTCTTTTTTTAAGCCAGATTCTCACCATGTAACCCTGCTGTCCTGGAACTCACCATATATACCAGGCTAACCTAGCACTCATAGCGATAGGTTTAATACCCCCATGACTGACAACACATCCAGGTTTTAATTAATTTTATTTCTCTAGGAGCCCATATCGAGCTAAGCCAGGCACTTTTCTATGAAATAAGTGATACAATGATAAACAACATGCCAACTGCTTTGGAAAAATAAATAAAAGAAAGTGAAATGCATGTGGACTTGCAGTGCCACCAGATGGTCAGATTAAACCTCACTGAGACAATGACACAGCCCTGGAGAATAGTGAATAGCTCCAGACACATAAACACTCAATACATACTTATTAGTGAAGGAAGAAGGCTCTTGAACTTAGTACACAGCAAGGTTTTTGAGGTTTTGGGTTTTTTTTTAAGATTTTTTTAAAAAAGATTTTCTTTATTTATTATTTATACAGTGTTCTACCTGCACTCCACAAGAGGACACCAGATCTCATTACAGATGGTTGTGAGCCACCATGTGGTTGCTGGAAATTGAACTCAGGACCTGTGGAAGAGCAGCCCGTGCTCTTAACCTCTGAGCCACCTCTCCAGCCCAAGATCTTTATTTTTTAAGATAGGGTTTCTCTGTGTAGCACTGGCTGTTTTAGAACAACGCTCAGTGGTAAAGAGCATCTGTTGCTCTTGTAGAGGACCTGGGTTCAGTTACCCAGCACCCATGTGGAAACCTACAACCATCTGCAACTCCAGTTATAGATAATCCAACGCCCCCTTCTGGCCTCTGTAGGCACTGCACTTGGAGCACAGACAGGCATGCAATATACCCATAAAAACATAATTTTTTAAATTAAAAGCATAATATTCTTTGCCATGAAAAAATAAATACAAAAAAAGGAAGAAGAAAAAAATAGAACTGTGATGGCTGTCAGCTAACAGAGTCAAGATGTTCATTTATATATTCATTTATATATTTGAAGAAAGCAGTACAAATAGCTTTCCTTTTATTTATTTATTTATTTATTTATTTAATTGATTTTTAGGGTGTGGTGGTGCTTACCTTTAATCCTAACACTCAGAAGGCAAGCAGATCTCTGAGTTTAGGGTATTATGTATTCCAGGCTGGCACTGAACTCACTATGTAACTGAAGGTAGCCTTCAACTTCTGATCCTCCTGCCTCTACCTCCCAGGGCTCAGATTACAGCTATATGCAACACAACCAACAGCAACACAATGTGGTGCTGGGGTCCAATTGAGAATGCTATACAGGTACTCTATCAATTGAGCTATATCCCAGTCCTATTTATTTGTTTAAATAAATAATATTCAACTAAATAATAGCTTTTTTTGTTTTACACGTGTGACTGTTTTGCATGTGACCTTTGCATGCCTGGTGTCTGCAGAGGTCAGAAGAGGGCATTGCATCCCCTGGAACTAGAGTCATGGATGGTTACTAACCACCATGTGGATGCTGGATATTCTGCAAGAGCTAACTTTCTGGCCCTTATTTTTTAATTTTTTTGAGACACACTGCTGACTATACAGTCCCAGTCAGACTATCATCCTGTCTCAGACTCCTCAGTAGCTGACCTTTACAGTTGTTGCATCATACTGATTTTATTAAATGTTTAAGTAGATTTCGGATAATAAACGGGCTATGGCAAACATCTGTTGCAGCACAGAGACCTCAGGTGAGGGCTACAGTCCAAATGTTTGCTAAATGGCCAACTCCAAATGCTTGTCAGCCAGGCTCATAACTATGAGATTTTTCTTTCTCAAGACTTCAAAGGTTGGCAGAAAAGAGCAACTGTAGGTTGTGGGCAGTGGGCAGCATGCAGCCTCTTCCCTCAGATCCCCAGAGGAGTCTTTCTCAGCCTAAACCCACTACAATCATCTGCCTGTTCCATTTCCCAAACTCCTCCCAGAGCCTATTTCCTTATTTGTGCAATGTCAAAAACCAGCTACCAAGAAGACCTAGCATTACACTAACAGTTGGCAGCCAATATGTATTGTCAAAGTCACCCACATTAGAGAGAACTGACACTCTCCTCAAGCAGATCTGGTCACCTTTACCATGGACTGGGGCTGAATACTTCTCTCTCCTGGTCCACTAGTCTTCAGTCAGCCGCATGTCCCCCAGGGGTTACCCCTCATCTTACCTGGTTGTGTAAATTGTCCTCAGGGCCTGGCTTTTCTTTGTGGTGCTTGGCATCCATGCAAACATTGAGCAGGTCAGTTCTGGCCCGAGTAGTTGTTGATTGGGCCACCCATATCAGCAGGAGCAGCAACTGAGCTGTCATCAGGTGAGCCATGCCAGACCCTGAAGGGAGAGCTACGGTCAGAGGAAACTCCAAGAGTGTACTCAGCTCCAGTGGGTGGAGCCTGCATTAGGGGATCCTATGTCACCTCCTCCTGTCAGTCTTCCCAGACTCAGGGCGTCTTAGAAGCCCTGGACACAGTCACTCACTGGCCTTTTGACTTCAGTGGTCCTAAGACTCAAACAAGGCAATTCAAAAAAAGAGATGGGCCATTTGCAAAAAACAGTTAAGAGTTTGCCCACACCCATATTCAAAATCCTTGGAGGCAAGGCTAAAAATTTTAAAGATTTTATAAAAGGTGATACAGGTTGCAGGGAGGTGGTGTTTTGTATGTTTTAATCCCAGCATTTGGGAGGCAGAGGCCAGCCTGGTCTATAGAGCTAGTTCCAGGGCAGCCAAGGCTACATAGAGAAACTGTGTTGAAAAAGAACAGCACCAAAATGGTGATAAAGTGATACAGGTTTAGGTGTGTGTAAAACGTCTAAAAATTTAGAGAGGAAACCAAGAGTGTAACATTAGCTGATGATGTAGCCAGGCACTAGTGGCACACACCTTTAATCCCAGCACTCAGGAAGCAGAGGCAGGGATCTGTGAGTTCAGAAAGCCAGTCTTGTCTATGAGAGCAAGTTTCAGTACAGCCAAGGCTACACAGAGAAACCCTGTCTTGGGGGAAAAAAATAGATGATGAGACAGGAGGTAGGCAAAAGAATGTAAGTCATGAAGGAGGATATAAAGCTCATTTCCCCTAGTTCCAACCTCATTATACTCTCCTCCAACTCCAGATAGAGGGAATTCAACTGTATACTGAAGTAGGAGGGACCATTTTTTCATTACAAAAGAATCCAGTATGTGTTTTTCCTTTGGAGCAGTGACTGTGAGAGCTGGTTTTTCTTTAATTCCACTGGCCATGGTGCAAAGGACCTAGACACAACAATGTCACTGAAAGCACCATCTCACTGACCCATTCTGAAAACAGAAGATTTAAACAACAAAAAAAATTTTTTATGCGTTTGAGTGTTTTGCTTAACTGTATGTCTGTGCACCATAAACATGCAGTGTCCCCAAGAGGTCAGAAAAGGTAATCAGATCCCCTGAGACTGGGGTCAGAGATGGTTATGAGCCACCATGAGCATGCTGGGAATCTCATATGAGTCCTTTGAAAGACCAGCCAGTGCTCCTTTCTTTTTTTTTTGTCTTGGTTTTTCAAGACAGGATTTCTTTGTAGCTTTGGAGCCTGTCCTGGAATTCACTCACTAGACCCACGCTGGCCTTGAACCCACAGAGATCCTGTCTCTGCTTCCCGAATGTTAGGATTAAAGATGTGTGCCACCACCGACTAAGTGATCTTAATACATGAACTGTTTCTCCTGCCCTCAATTGGTGAGGGCTTACATTATGTTTTAAGTTTAAATTACTGTGCTTAAAGGATTTATAAAACAAAAATGCCTGTAATCTGTATGCCCCACTTGCCCAAAGATAGATAACTTCCTGGAATTGGGGAGGGGAGGTTGCTCAAGTAAGATAACAAGCCAAGTAAAGAAGCTTGGTTGCCAGATTGCACAGGATGTGCTTAATCACAGGTAAGTGGGATGGACTTAGGCAGGAAGAACTTCAGGACATAGTCTTGCCCTTAGTTGGACAAAGGCAGACATGCCTTGGAGGGGTGGCCTTTCCTTTATTAGCCCTGTCTAATGTGAATTGGGGCCATACTCTGGGAATCTCAGGTGTACACCTGGGCAGTGTCCATTAGCTTTACCAGAATTTAAGAAAGCTCGATTCAAACTTGGTTCAGAAATTGTGGTCTTATTCTCACCCAGTAGGATTAACAAATTCTGTTTTAAACTACATTATTTCAATTATGTTATTGATTATATAAATTGAGTTTCTATACATAAAACATGGTTTTAAAAATAATTAAGGGAATATGATTGTCATGTAATAGCAATCAATCTGTTTTATAAGAAGGAATAAATAAAAAGTAAACATAACCCCCACCCCTATTTTTCAGGTCAATTTGTTTTTCTTTTTTAAATTTCTTTTTTTATGATTATTTTAGTTTGTTTTGCGCATACACATGTTCGAGCCTTTGACGTGTGTAGCGGTCAAAGGACAACTTATTGGGGTCTCTTCCTTCCTTTACCATAAGGGACCCAGGGACTGAACTCAGTTGTCACACTTGGCAGCAAGTACCTTTACCAGCTGAGCCATTGCTCTAGTCCCAGTGCACTATTTAACTCAAGAGAATTCTGTTTTATTTTGTTTTAGATTCTTTTCATTAAGGTCTCACCATGAAGCCCTGGTTAGTCTGGAGCTTGCTATGTAGGCCAGGCTGGCCTTGAACTCACAAGAGATCTGCCTTAAACCACCATGGCTGGCAAGTCAAATTTTGATACCAAGTGACTTTGTATAAAAGCTTTAAAAATGAGGTATTTAGTTTGGTGGTACATGCCTTTGATCCCTGGGAAGGGACACGTGGATCTCTGTGAGTTCCAGGACAGCCAAGGCTATCACAGGGGAAGAAAGGCCTGGGAGGAGAGGAAGTAGGGGAAACTAAGGTTGGGATGTAATGACAGAAGAATAAATGAATTAATTAAAATTAAAAACAAAACAAACAAAAGCCTTAAAATTAATGGAATTTTGTTTGTTGCTTGTTTAGAGGCTCAGACTAGCCATGAAATCCAGAGCTCAAGTTGAATAGGGGTGGCCCTCAACTTTAATCCAGGACTCAGGAGGCTGAGGCAGGTTGATCTCCTGCGATCAGCCTGGTCTACAGAGTAAGTTTCAGGACAGCCAGAGAAACCCTGTCTCAAAAAACCATAAACAAACAAAAAAGAAAAAAAACCCCAAGGAATAACCTCCTACAGCAGTGGAATCATGGGTATGTGAGCCACACCCAGGTTTTTTTCTTTTCTTTTTGGGATTATCACTTGGACAGTTCAACAGGCCCCTCCCCGGAACTCTGTAGGGGGGAGGGGGATTCACAGACAGCTGCACAACCCTGTGATCTTGGGACACTTAGCCTCCTCCTACAGAGCTGGGTTTTCCTTGACCATCTTACTATCTTTTGACTTCAGACACTGAATTTGGGGGTGGGGGAGACGGTCCAAACCTGTTCCCTCATCTCTCAGAATGCTCCAAATTGCTAAAATGTTCCAAATTTATTTCCCACAAATCCTCTCCACCTCCCTCCAAGTCTGTGTTTCATTCAAGAGTTGATAAAGCAAATGACTTCAGGACAAAAGCCTATCAGTGGTGCCTATTTGCATACCAGCGCGCGTGCGCCCCAGGCTCCCTCAGCTGCCTCCAGTCTAAACTGCTCTCCCAGCTCAGCTCCCTGCCTTAGTCTTCTCTAGCAATTAGGCTTCCCTCCCACTTCTCATTTCCTTCTAAGTCTGGTAGTTCAGCTATGTTTCTCTTTTGTCTTTCTCTCTTGAACCCTTTCCTCTTGCCCCTCCCTGTCTTGCTCCCAACCCTCCATGGCCCAGTCCAGTCTGCTAGACATAGTTAATCTACTTTCTCTCTCTGGATTCTTCGAGATGCCTCTGGCTGCACTCCCCTCTTCTCTACAATAAAAACCTTCCCCTCAACCATGCCTTGGAGTGGCCATGTCCTTAGTTTATGGATTTCCCAGCTCACAGGTCTCCATATTACCTCATTTCCCTCAGAACTTGGTGCCTAGGCAGGGTGTGGTTGAGCACCCTTAGTCTCAGCAGAGGCAGGCAAATCTCAGTCCGGTTTACAGGACTAGATCCAGGACAGCCAGGGCCTGCCTGGAACCCTCCTTGTCTCGAGAAAAACAAAAAAGACCTTGATGTCCTGGACTAGAAACATAGCTCAGTTAGTAGTGGACCCTCAGAATTGGGGGACAGGAGGATCAAAACTTCAAGGTCATTTTCAATTACATATCAAACTTGGGTGTCCTAATGTGGCTCTCATCAGACTGCTTAGGCATAGCAAGGCTAGAGTAAACCTACAATTGAATGCACACCCAGCTTCTCTGCTCCACAAAACATTATTCTGCATTAATAGCCACTGCCCCACCCCACCTCAGCCTTTTTTTTTTTTTAAATAGTACTGAGTATTGAACCTAATTACCCTGTTAAACACAAACTTTCCTTTCACTTTATTTTGTGTTGGTAGTGGTGTTTTTTTTTTTTTTTTTTTTTTTTTTTCCGAGACAGAGTTTCTCTGTGTAACAGCCCTGGCTATTCTGGAACTTGCTCTAGACCAGGCTGGCCTCGAACTCACAGTGATCCATTGGCCTCTGCCTCCCAAGGGCTGGTTTAAGCAGTGCTGGGTCTAAAGGCGTGTGCCACCTCTACCTGGCTCACTTTCTTTGAGACAGAATCTTACTAAATCACCTGGGCTGATCTTGAACTCATTCTATGGGCCAGCCCTTGAACTTTTAATTTTCTTGCCTCAGCCTCCTGAGCAGAGAGATATGATTACAGGCTCACACCACCAGACACAAGCAGTCTTCAGTTTATCCCAGTGTCTACCCTTTTGCTCTCTCTTAAATCATTCACTCCAGGACCCAGCCATGCTTCTTCCAATCCACTTACTCTGATCTCCAAGTCCAGGCCAGGTAAATCAGTCCCGTTGGAGCACTAGATGTGTCTTCAACTCCTGTGGGGCAAAACAAGACCTGCTTGCTTGTCCAGGTTAAAGCTCAGAGAGCCTGACCCAGCCAAGGCCTCTCTCCGCTCCCTGCTTGATCATGTGGAAAATAGACACAAACGACCTTACGAGTAAATGTAGAAGAAAAAAAGTCACCAACTACTAGCTAATTTCATATATGTGCGACCAACTGGACCTGACTGAGGGGCATGCTTAAGTACAACATCAGGGACTACCCACCCAAGTCTGACCCTTCCCCAACCCCCACTCCCAACCCCTTACTTAGAATGCTCCAGATTGCTAAAATGTCCCAAGTTCCTGCTGAGTCCCTCTAGCCCCACCTCCTTGGGTCTTTTCCAGTCAGTGATCTCTTAAAACTTTTTTCTTTTTAA